TTGTTACACTGTAATGCCCTTTGGGTTGAAGAATTCCAGGGCAACTTACCAACGATTGATGAACAAGATTTTCAAAGATCAGCTCGGCGATACAATAGAGGTGTACATTGATGACTTGTTGGTCAAGAGCAAGGAGGAGGCTGGCCACCTCCACCTCTCGGGACGACATTTGCCATCCTCCGGGAATATGACCTGAAATTGAACCCCTCGAAATGCGCCTTTGGAGTGAGCTCCGGAAAGTTTTTGGGGTATTTAGTCACTCATCGTGGGATCGAGGTGAACCCCGAGCAGATACAGGCGATTCAGAATGTCCGGGCACCCAAGACTGTCAAGGACGTTCAAAAATTGGCCAGGATGTTGGCGGCCCTCAACAGGTTTATTTCCAAGTCATTCGATAAGTGCAAACCGTTCTTTTCCAAGTTAAGGTGGGGTAGCTAATGGAGTTTGGAACGAGGAATGTGATCGAGCTCTTGAAGGAATCAAGGAGTACTTGAAACATCCTCCGACTTTGTCTGTTCCAGTAGCAGGGGAGGTGCTAAGCCTTTATTTGTTCGTCTCTCAAGACGCCATTAGTGGGGCATTGGTCAGGGATAGCGAAGGGGCACAGAGACCCGTGTATTTCATAAGCAAGACCTTGCTTGACGCCGAGACAATATACTCTCCAATGGAGAAATCGGTATTGACATTGGTAGTCTCGGCAAGGAAACTTCGACATTACTTCCAGGCTCACGCCATAGACGTCCTTACAGACCGACCTCTCAAGTCGATCCTGCACAAGGCCGATATGTCTGGGAGGGTTGCCAAATAGGCTGTAGAGCTCGGAGAGTTTGAAATCAGGTATAAACCTCGAACGTCAATAAAAGGACAAGTCCTGACGGATTTTGTTGCCGAGTTCTCTGTGTCCGAGCCCCCAACACTGGATCAGTCAGGGGATGTGTGGGATCTCCATGTTGATGGGTCCTCGAACGCCAGGGGGGCAGGGATAGGTATCATACTAGCCAATTCAGAAGGGTTCATCATTGAAAGGGCAGTCAGATTGAAATTCAGGGCGTCCAACAACGAAGCCGAGTACGAAGCCTTACTAGCAGGGCTGGACGCCGCAAGCTCGATTGGGGTTAGACACTTTCGGATTTTTTGTGATTTCCAGTTGGTTGTGAACCAAGTAAATGGGGACTTCGAGGTCCAGGACAGCAGGATGTAGGCATATCATGAGAAGACAAGATCCAAGATGGAAAAGTTTGAAAAAGTGGAAGTTTCCCAGATTTTTAGAGATCAAAACACCCACGCCGATGCCTTTGTGTGCCTGGCCTCGGCTTTAGCGTCGGAGGTATCTCGGCGCATACTTATTGAGACTTGGGACAGTCCGAGCATAGATAAAGAAAGGGTCGAGCATGTCTTGCCAACCATAATGGGAGCGCAGTCGGGATGGATGAAGCCAATCATTGCGTACCTCACGGGCGGAGTGCTTCCGGAGGACTTCCAAGAGGCCAGAAAGATTAAGCTCAAAGCCCCAGATTCCGAAAGTTGGATGAGCAACTATACAGAAAATCGTTCTCAGGGCCACTATTGCTATGTGTCCCCGAGGACAAAGTGAAACCGCTGTTGTACGAAATCCATGAAGGGATGTGTGGGAACCACACGTGCGGAAGGTCTCTTGCGCACCGAGCGATGACGCAAGGATATTGGTGGCCTTACATGCAGAAGGACGCGAAGAGTTATGTGCGAAAATGTGACAAATGTCAGAAGTTTGCCCCCATTATTTCGCAACCTGCTGGGGATTTGAACTTGCAAATGAGCCCATGGCCCATTGTCGGACCTCTCCCGAGATCCCCACTGGGCAAGAAATTCTTGATCGTGGCAACCGATTACTTCACTAAATGGATCGAAGTAGAGCCTTTAAGCCGTATTCGGGATGTCGAAGTGAGGAAATTCATATGACAAAACATCATCACCCGGTTTGGAATTCCACGGGCTATTGTCTCCGATAATGGGACCCAATTCAACAGTGGCCCATTTTGAGAGTTCTGCTTAGGATACAGAATATGCAATTACTATTTTACGCCAGCCTATCCCCAATGTAATGGCCAGGCTGAGGTGTACAACAAAACTGTGCTAGCAGGAATCAAGAAGAGACTCGAGGCAGCAAAAGAAAGGTGGACCGAGGAGTTACTTAACGTGTTATAGGCATACAGGACCACGCCGAGGACTTCGACGGGAGAAACCCCATATGCCCTGACATATGAGGTCAAGGCCGTAATCTCATTGGAGGTAGGACTCCCAACAATACGGAGCCAAGCCTTCGAGTTTGGCAATAATGATCAAACCCTCGCTAGGGATCTCGATCTAGCCGAGGAAAGGAGGTCATTGGCATCCATCAAGCTGGCAAAGTACCAAGCAGAGTTGTCACGACAGCACAAGAAGAAAGTTCGATTGAGGGAATTCAAAGTCGGAGATTTGGTACTGCAAAAAGTGGTAGGAAATACGCGCGAGCCCACTGATGGAAAACTTGGTCCCAATTAGGAAGGCCCTTACAAGGTGATCTCTGTGTGGGGGCACAGACATATATCGTTCATAAAATATGAGTGGCGACGATGTAATCTGACCATGGAATATATTAAATTTGAAAAAATATTATTATTAAATCAGGATTCATTGTTCACGGTGGTACTAACACGAGCCAAGTGCTCGGTCGTTGAGGGCACAGCCCTGACGGGTGTAAGACTCCACCCTTGGAGCAACGCTCTCGAAATAAACACAAGTCAAGCGCTCGGTCGTTGGGGGCACGACCTCGAGGGGTGTATGACTCCACCCTTGGAGCAACGCTCTCGAAATACCAACACGAGCCAAGCGCTCAGTCGTTGGGGGCACGACCCCGAGGGGTCCTCTAACCCAACAGTAAGATCGGCGTGACCATTTCCTATAAGTACGACTAACATAGAAAAGCATATTGATTAAAAATAGATGTTCATTATAAAAAAGGGGCTTTGCGTCCCCAGACATACAAACTAACAAAATTCATAAGAGCTACAAAGCTGCAGAGACCCCCCCAGCTCATTCATCCCCGGCTCCTTCCCTACCGAGGCCTCCACGTCGCCTCTGTAACCCATCTCCAGCCCCCAATATCTCGTCCAGCTCGGTGTCATGAGGTTCACTAAGGATGAAAGGCGGAGAGGACATATCTGTTGGCTCGGCAGGTGGCAACGACGGGAGGGCAGGAAAAGGTTGATCAGATCCGTCACTCAGTGTGATGGGTTCACCTCCACCTTCAGCACCGCCTGACCTTTCCATCTCTACATGATCGCCGAGGTTTGGGCGGACCGACTCGTCCAAGGCTTCATCGACGTCGCTTCTGAGGCTGTGCTTGATGAACAGGTCCGAGCCTACCTCAACGTGGCAGGCGTTAAGGGCAGCGTCCCAGCCTTCATTGAAAGCCTTTTTCTTAGCCTCTTCGAAAGCTGGAACCATTTGGTCTTAAGTGGCCGTCCACACCCTCAGGCACTCTGATTGCAGCCTTTCCTGCTCCCTCGTTCGTTTTGCTATCAAGGAGTCCACTTTGGCAGTTAGAGCCCTAATTATAGACTCGGACTCTTGCAGCTTGGACTCGACGGAGGACACTCGCAGCTCATACTCCTCGGCCTTCTTCATCATGGCAGCTTCGCCTGTCTTGGCCTCATTCAGTTCGGCATGAACGGCGTCTCGCTGGCGGATGAGCTCGGCGACGTGCTTGGTCTGGTCGCCGAGGGTCCTTTTGACCTTCAAGATGTGGTCATCCTTCGCAGCTGCGGCTCGCTCGGCATTTTTGGCCTCCTACTTGTACTCCCAAAAATGCTCGATGATGGCTCCCATCTGCTGGCTAGCCTGAAAAAAAGAAGGATATTAGGACATGACCCAAAGGGGACAAGGGCTACTCGGAGAAACAATGAACTTACCACCAGATTTTTTTGAATAGTGCTCATCAGTAGCCGATTGTCCGAGTAACCCTCGTACACGAACATATCAGTGTCAAACTGCAGCGTCCCCGCAACAGCAAAGGCCATTTCGGGAGATTGGAGGATGGAGTCGGTTTCCAAAACAGGCCGACCGCTCTTGGTCTTGGCGAGGGCAACCCACTCGCCCGAGGTAGAAGGGCCCGGGGCCAGGACGTCGTGTCGTTGCTTCACACGATGCTCCTCTTGGTGCTCGACGTCCCGGGCACACTTGTCCCTTGCCCGATCTCCCGGGGCCTGGACTTGTTGGGATTGGGCCCTCTGCCTAGGTGGCACAGCCAAGTCCCGGGGTTGCGTACGCGGCGTCGGCTGCCTCTGGGGAAGACGAGGCTGAGGAATGATTGGAGCAGGGTTGGAAGGCCCAGCCAAGCCAGCGAGCCTGGCTCTCCTCGCCAAGGCGGCGGCCTCCATGGAAGCTGCGATGATGGGTGGTGGATTAAACATGTCGGCTGTAGGAGACTCGGGAGCGTTATGTGAAGGCTCTTCTTCTGAACTTCCCTCGGATTTTTCCTCTTCCGACGAGGAGTGATCTTCCCAAATGGAAGGATTGAAAGGAGGCCAGATCTGTGAGAAACCGTTGTAGGTCGGCGTATAGCTGAGGAGGGTATGCACGGCTCGTTCAACCGGGTCCGAGGACCAGACCTTTAGCAGATCAGCAAACCGGACTTGAGACCTCGGTGGTTGAGTAGCGTCCCGGCGATATGCTTCTGCAAAAACAGAGTAAAAATCAATACGTCCCTCGGACCTAAATATGTAAATCAAGAAGTCTGAATGAAAACACACTTCACCCCTCGGCACTTTGGGGCAGTACAATCCGTCATACTCGGTCCCGGTCCCTTTCTCCCAACTGTCGCCGAGCATAATCAGATCGTCCACATACCCCTTGTCCGAGTCAGGCAAGTGGGTTACTAGATACATCGAGGGATCTCGGGCTTGGAGATAATATCGCCCCCCGGCGACTAGACATAGGACATAGCAGAATAAAATTTCGTCTACCCCCAAGCTAATCCCAAGTCGAGTGTTTAAGGCGACTACGACCATCACAATCCTAAAGATGTTAACCCCGCATTGAAGGGGAAAGAGCTTCAGTTGCATTAGGACTCCCTGCAACAGGGGATGGATGGGGAAGGTCAACCTTCCTTCCATGATGGCCTTCGTCTAGAATGACATCATGTCCTCACTTCCCCATGTCCCTTCTATAGCGAGTGGGGTTCAAGGGGAAGGTGAAGACAGGCTCACGAATATGGTACCTGACCCTAAAGGTATGGATGTTCTCGTATGTTACTTGGGTCCTCCTCATTTTGTGGGTAGTACTGGCCCTAACAAATGTTTCCCCCTTAGTTCTACTAGTTCTGGGCATCGAAGGGAGCTAAGGGGACGAAATGTAGAAGAGATGAAGAGAGAAAAAGCTCAAGTGGAAGAACTTACAGGAGGGTGGTCTTCGGAGAGAGCTCGGAGGACCAAGGAAAACTCGGAGGACAGGAGAGCACTCAGGGTCTAATTGCTGAGGAGAGATGAGGGATGCAAAAGTTCTAAGAAGGCAGAGAAACCCCCTATTTATAGTGCCTTGTAAGGAGCAAGAATCGAGGAGTTAGCTCATCATTAGGGCATTTGAAAAGGGCGGCACCAGACGTGCAAGTAACCGTCGCCATTAATGGGGCCTGGTGATGGAGCCCCAATCCCTTCCCTCCACTTGTCGAGCGCCGCATAAGGGATTGCGGCTGGGGGGCAGTTGGCGGGACCCCTGTATGGATCCTCAGCCCCCAGGGTGACACGTGGCACAATGGAGTCATTAGGATGCCTGGAAGAGACCGAGGGGGTGAGCCGAGGCATGGTGACACAGAGCGGGCGAGTACAACAACTGGCCTCATAATTAAAAGCGATGTGATCTCACATTTATGGCGGAATAAGTGATAGTGACAGGACAAATAAATGCATGACTGTCACCACCTGCTCTCTGCAAGTCTATGTCTACTGTCATGATGGCTGAAGCATTAATGACTAATGCGCTGAGACAACGCGATGGGTTCTCCCGAGGAACTGTTCATCCGTGTATTCAGTGGTCTGTTGGTGTCAGACGCCGACCTCTTAGATTAGGTTGCTCGGCTCATAGTATAAATGCTCGGCTTATGGCCGAGCATTTACACCATTCCCCTAGCATTCAATTGGAGGAGGCGTAAAGGGGAAGTATCCACTGCACGAGGGATGGTGTGTCGATGTGAGATGTCTAGATGGGACTGAAGATCTTGGGCAATCATTGTTAATTCAGGTATAAATATCCCTCAGAAAAATGGACAAAGGTACGCAAAATCAAACCAGAACATATCTACTAAGTGAAAGACCCTTCGATCTTACTGACTTAAGTTTCGGAGGGGATCCACCGAGCTCACGCCTGACCCCCTTTCTTCTAATCCTCTTTTTTCAGGTTCACCAATTGGAAGATTGCCACTTTACAAGATTGCAGGAATTATCCCGTGCAGTTATATTGAATTACATTCTAAAATTAAATCCGTATAAGATTGCTCTTAAATCAAAACTATAGGGGTCATTGTTTTGCTTTATACAAATAAACTTGTTTTATTATGTAGATTGTGGTGGGAACATAAACAAACATCAAGATTGCAATACGTGAATGGGCATTGATTCACCTCGAGGGAAAAAAACGAGAATAGGCTTTGATTCGTTCTCTTTCTTTTATTGTGATTTCACACAGGTTTTCATGGAGTACTTAGATTGAGCAAGCTACAAGTTTTGGATTTGAGTGGGAACAGGTTCACAGAAATCCCATCATTAGGTGCACTACAGTCCCTAAAGGTTCTCAATCTTGAAGAAAATAATTTGAAGAGTTTTTCCCATATTCAAGGTGCATCCCAATTCTATTCTATTGTATTGTTCTGCTTATTTACTTGTACTTTACATTGATGCAACACTTTACTCTTTTGTCCTACGTAAAAGCAGAATTAACTACTTTGAACAAGCTGGAGACGTTGAATCTTGATGTTAATAATTTGATTGGTGAGATTCCTCCGTCGATTGGTGCTCTGACATCTCTAAAGGTCTTATCATTCAAAGACAATCGACTGAATGGCTCCTTACCCATGGAAGGTACTTCAAGAGAGATTTATACTTATATTCAATTATATTTGTTTCCCTTTTAATGTGTTGGTCATAGTGGATATTGTAGAAAATGGGTATAAGGGTGATTGGAGGAATTAGAAATGCACATGTATTGGAATTAACTGATTGCTCAAATTTTAGCAGCCAGTTAAACTGATTCCCAATAGGCATTCCTTTAGCTCTAGTGTGCTATGAAAGTAGAAGATTGACTGTTGCATTATTTGGTCGAATGGAATAATGATATAAATTGATGTAAACCATCACTGGGGTCAATTAACCCCACATATATAAACTTAACTCTGTTGTGCTGTGGAAATAGTGGACTGACTATTACATGATTGAGTCAGATGAAATTGCAATTAGTAATAATGAAGACTAATCTAAACCATTAGCGGAGTTAATGGATCCCCCATACACGAATTTTACTTTGTCATGCTATGGAAATTGTAGACTGACTATTGCATTATTGAGCCAAATGGAATAACAATTAGTAACGATGGAGACTAATCTAAACTGTCAGTGAGGGTTATTACCCTACATATATGAATTTAGCTCTGTCGTGCTATAAAAATAGTAGATTGACTGTTGTATTATTTAGTCGAAATTAAATAACATTTAGTTGTGACACATATTGATCTAAATAATTAGTTGGGCAATTAACTTCACATACAAAAATTTGACTCTGCCATGCTATGAAAGCAATGTAAATTAATTGTTACGTTATTCAGTCGAATGGAATAGTAATGATGCAGCTGGTCTTGGCAATGGCTCCACATACAGGAATTTAGGCCTGCCATTCTAAGAATGGAGTGGACTGACTTTTGCATCACTGAGTCAATAGTCATGATATTGTTGGCTTCCAAATTCTAGTGGATGACAAGGTGTGGCCAGTAAATTATCCAAAGACATCGGTTCTTTATTTTATTGGATAGCACTTTGCCAAGAAACAAAAGCAAAAGTAGAAGCACATATCATTATTTTCATAACTATACATCAACAGATCAGTAAGAAAATTTTGATCGAATTAAAGGGTTTGCTGTCGTTAGGTACGTGTGATTGATAATGTTGTTAGATATGCATGTAATTAAAGTTTTACGTATCTACCAAAGAAAATTCCACATCCGATAATATCGACAATTTATAGGATCCATTTGAATATATTGAGTCCAACTTAATTTCATGATATTTGTATTTAGGTTTTTCCCATTTGCACACAACCTCCGAGGGCAGTTCAAGGTAATTTGAGACCTAAAGCGAAAACATTAAATGAGATTTTTTTATTTTTAGTATTAATTTTTTTAAAAATAATTTATTTTAAATTTTTTATGACAAAGAGACAAAAGAAGGATGTGCTAGTAGAGGTTTTAACTTTTGTTTTTATCTTTTATCAGAGATAGATAAAGAAAGAGTTTTGATTTTAACTTTTGTTTCTATTTTTTTAATTTTTTTGACCGTATAAACAGAGAAGGAGTGGGGTAAATATAAGTTAACTTTTGAGTATTTTTTTATTTATGATTTTTAAGATTTTAATGTTATGAATTGAATTATGTACCCAAATTATTACAATAAAAATTTCAATTAAACTCAATGGATTTACATTTTTTGGGGCTTTTTTTAGGGCTAACAATTTAATGGATTTACATTTTTTTTTTGTGGGCTAGTAATGTATATAAAATTATATGATCTTCTAAACATTTATGACCTAAAGCCCAGACTTTATTTTTTGAATTGTTGGGCCGGCCCCGACAGCCCCGGTGGATTAACCCTCTTGTGATTTTTATACTAAATTGCACCACTTAACAACGTTAATGGCAAGGACATTCATGAGGAGACTGAAAGTAGGTGAAATGTGATAGTTATCATGTAGCTAATGTGTAATATGGGTTAATAAGGGTAATTTGAAGAATTCAAGTGGTTTTGAAATGTGGAGATGGTAGATGTCGATTAATTAAATATCAAAATTCTATTGCATTGTTCTGCTTATTTACTTGCGATGTTACCTTGATGCAAAACCTCACTTTTTTGCACTATATGAAGCAGATTTAACTAGTTTGGGCAATTTGGAGGTGTTGAGGCTTGATTTTAATAATTTGATCGGTGAGATTCCCCCATCCATAGGTGCTCTGACTTCTCTAAAGGTCTTATCATTCAGATACAATCAACTGAATGGCTCCTTACCCATGGAAGGTACTTCAAGAGAGATTTATAGTTATATTCAATTATATATGTTTCCCTTTTAATGTGCTGGTCATAGTGGATATTGTAGAAAATGGGTATAAGGGTGATTGGAGGAATTAGAAATGAACATGTATTGGAATTAACTGATTGCACAAATTTTAGCAGCCAGTTAAACTGATTCCTGATAGGCATTCTTTGGATCCATTCAAGTCCTTCAATAACTTCCCATTTTGTTATTCTATATATCCAACTTTAACTTTGATTCGGAATTACCCTAACTTGATTCTGGCTCTCACATTTCAATTAATCATTGTATGTCCCTTTAAGCACCAGAGCCATGTTTTTATTCATTTGAATTGCTGCAATTTATTATTGCTTTTGTAGTGATCATTATTTTGGTATATCTCATACTATACCTTCCCTTCCCCCATAAAACACACAGAAAATGCTCACTCATTCATGCATACACGCACATACAAGCACACAAATAATCCGATTATGTTGATTATTGTTAGAATCATTGAATGACACTCTTATAGATGAGGAATGTAGATACCCCTTCCCGTTCAAAATTTTTCCTTTTTGCTGTTATGGTGCATGGGATTCTTGTCAGATCAATAGAATGGTTTCCCAGACTAGACTCTTTGATATATCTGATGAAAGTCATCGAACATCTACGTTTTTTTCGTGAAAAAAAATCTGGACAAATTGTTAAAGGAAGAGAATCAAGGACATCCACAACATATTGTTATTCCCATTTCATGTTGACTGGGCAGCAACTTTTCTGATAAGTTCAAGGTACAAATGTGATATTAAGGCATCAACATGATTAATTAATGGTGCATAATTAATGGTGCATAAGTAGGGATGACAGTGGATCGAAAAAAAACGGAGATTCATTCAAACCCCTCCCCTTTGGACCAGGGATGGACCATATGTATTAGACAGTAAACTTATATTGAATACCGGTATAAACCTATGTGAAGATGGATGCGGGGTGGACCGAAATTTACCCCCACCCCAGTCCGCTGCCATTCCTATGCATAATCAACTATTGGGGATCTTCTAGTATAGAAAAAGAGTTAATTTCATTGTTTAAAATTATAAAGCTAATTCCGTCGTGATTATAATTGCATGACTTGCACTTTCACTTTTGCAGGCTTTTGCAAATTGAGGAACCTCCAAGAGTTGGATCTAAGCGAAAACAGTTTCGAAGGGAATCTTTCTTCTTGTCTCGGCAATTTGACATCCCTTCGGTTCCTTGAACTTTCTCAGAATAACATTGGAGGAACCATTCCCTCTACTCTCTTTCCTAGTCTCAAGTCACTTGAGTATGTTTCCCTTTCTTACAACCATTTTGAAGGTTCATTCTCATTCAGCTCACTTGCTAACAGCTCCAAGCTTGAGGTCTTCGAACTTGAAAACCACAACAACAATTTGAAGGTGGAGACAGAAAATTTGCCTTGGACACCTCTTTTTCAGCTGAAAAGCTTTCGCTTATCCAATTGTAAACTCAATGAGGCAACAGGGGCTATACCCAGCTTTCTTTTACATCAATATGACTTAAGAGAAGTTTACCTTGGCCACAACAGCATGGTAGGAAAGATTCCAACCTGGTTACTCATGAATAATACGAGACTAGAATTCCTTAGTCTTGCAAATAACCTGTTAAGCGGTCCGCTCGTGTTGAATGCTGATTCAAAAAATGTTCATATTTTCTCTTTCGATGTCTCTATGAATCGTATCCAAGGCGAGGTCCCATTCATTATTGGCTATGTCCTTCCAAATTTACTGCTTCTGAACATGTCCAAAAATGGATTTCAAGGTAGCATTCCTCCCTCACTGGGAGATATGAGAAGTTTAGAGTTATTGGACTTGTCAGATAATAACCTCTCCGGACAACTACCAGAGCATTTAGTCATGGGGTGCGTCTCATTGGCATTTTTGAAGCTATCGAGCAATAATTTGCAGGGCCAATTACTTCCAGCAAAATCCAATCTCACGGAACTAGTTGCTTTGTTTCTGGACAATAATCGCTTCTCAGGAGAGATATCAATTGGACTTCCGAACAACACCAACCTAAAATTGCTGGATTTAAGCAATAACTCACTTTCTGGCCAAATTTCTGACTGGATTGGAAGCTTCCACTCTTTATCTTCCCTTATTCTGTCCAAAAATTCATTAGAAGGCTCTTTACCTAAGAGCGTCTGCAACCTTCAACAACTAAGATTCTTAGATCTTTCTAGTAACAGCTTAATTGGTGCCATGCCTTCCTGTGTAAATCTATCATCATTGAGGTACTTACATTTACAAGGAAATGAAATCGATGGACCCATACCAAATGTTCTCTCTAAAGCTTCCTCCCTTGTGACATTGGATTTGAGGGATAACAAATTATCAAGAAGAATTCCTAGTTGGATCAACTTACTCTCAAATTTGAGGGTTCTTCTTTTGAAAGGAAATACCCTTGAAGGTCCCATTCCTTTTCAATTGTGTCAGCTCATTAAAATTAACGTGATAGATTTTTCTCATAACAATCTTTCTGGGTCAATACCTTCTTGTTTGCAAATCATACCATATGGGACAAGAGCTTTCGATGACGCCTTTGATACCAATGTGTATGGATCGAAATTCCAATTCTCAACTTATTTCTATGAAAGTCAACTCGATGGGAGCCTTTCTATGGATATGCACTTTGATATACTTGATGAGGTAGAAGAAGTGGAGTTTATAACAAAGAGTAGGTCTGAGTCATACAGGGGAAACATTTTGTACTTCTTCTCTGGAATTGATCTATCGTGGAATAAATTCACAGGTCCAATTCCACCTGAAATTGGGTACCTAAGCGGTGTGCTTACTCTAAACCTGTCACACAACCACTTGACAGGGTCCATCCCAAAAACATTTTCCAACCTGAAGGAAATAGAAAGTTTGGACCTATCCCATAATAGGTTGTGTGGTGAAATTCCCTCAGAGTTGATAGATTTGACCACTTTAGAAGTCTTTACTGTGGCATACAACAACTTATCAAGTAGAACACCAGATAGGAAGAAGCAGTTTGCAACATTTGAAGAAAACAGCTATGAGGGCAACCCTCTTCTTTGTGGTTTGCCACTACAGAGAAGTTGCACCACCAATAGTGCAATTCCATCAGCTCAGTCAACTTCAAGATCAAGGCAGAGTGGCTTATTCAATGTTGATTTTTTTTGGAGTTTCGGAGGAGCCTACTTCGTGGCATTCATAGGCGTTGTATCATTTCTATACTTGAGTTCATATCATCGAGGATTGCTGTTTGAACCCATTGAAGCGCGAATAGTATCCTACCGCTAATTGGTTGTTTATTTTCTATTGTATCCTATGTGAAATCTAGTTTAATAAAAACTGAGATGATAAAATGATTTGATAGGAAATCTTGTTGCATTAGATCTAGTTATTGGGCATTTGAACTTGACAAGTTTAAACATGTATGCTCTATTTTGTTGCTAGATTTTTCCTTTTAGATTCATTCTGTGAAGTTTAAACTTTTTTGCTTCAAGTTAGAATTGGGACAAATATTGTGGACAGAGTTAGCTGGCTGATGTGCTTCGGTTAGATTATTTCTTTGACTTCATCCTTAGAACTTGTCGTGTTTTACATCATCAAGAGGAATGGGTTAAAAGCTTATTACTTAACCAAGAGTCACCATAATGACAACTCAACTTAACTGATTAGAGATCATAAGATCTTAGTTCAAAGGAACAAACGTATTATGTGCAACTCAGAACACACTGAGAAGGTTTTTAACTTCTTTTCATTCTTATGATGAGACAATGTATATCTGCCGCAACAACTAGGATAAGTTACACTTTTAATGATGTTTACAAGTCCAAGTAAGGTATAGTGGGATACTCTATTAGAGTATTTTAAACAAAATAATGTTTTTTATGTTGAAATTCAATCTCACATCGACTAAATGTCTAAAAGTACTTGAGTGTATATATATATATAATAGTGTTATCTAGCATTTGAGTTAAAGTGAGATTTTGAGACTCTCAAGTGCGCAAGGGTGGGATAAGCGGAGGAGATATTATGTATTAGTTATTATCTGATTAAATATGGGAGTAAATACGGAATGTTAAATACCTATATTTTTCTGTACATATATTTATATATTTCAGTATAAAAAATATAATTTGAATATCTACTATTGTCACTCTATTGCATAAATTTCTAAGAAATATTCAAAGTTGTCGTCAATATTCAAAGGTGCCGTGTGAAGCTTCTGCTTCATTATATCATGCAGATTTGAGTGAAGCAACAATCAATAAGCTGAGTTATTGTATACTGTGGACGTTTCTATGACAATCCCCTGTGTGACTAAAGAAGGGACCATTTCTCTGAGAATCGTAGACTGATTACTCTAAAATTATTCATGAAATCATGTGGTGTTTAAGGTTAAAATGAACACAAACGTAAGAACCAACTATGTCCAAAGGGAAACTGTATGAATTTTATTGTCTTGTTTTACACAAATAGCTGACAATTCAAAGACATGAAATCCATTAATTAACCAAGTAAGTCCAATGGTCTTTCGCTATAGAAAGTTCAAAGCCACTAGGCTACTTATCTTGATGTAGTGACCTGTCACTTATACTTGAACTAGTATTTGTATTGGCATACATTGAATTTTTATTTATGTTGGGGATTGTTTGAAATAATGATATATTTATTTAAAAATCATTAAGGATTGAATGAAAAATTATTAAAGTCTTTGTGACTTGTAGTAGAAATTGGAAAAGTGTGAAGTAAATATGACATGAAATGCTACTAATTCAAAATTAATGACTTTTGATTAAAGACGTCAATCCAAATGATTAGATTCTTTCATAAAGCCACATTTGATATTCTTCAGTTAAAAGACACTATTTCAAATGGCACCGTTAATATCATTTGGTTAAAAGACACATTTGATATCTTTTGGTTAAAAAGACACCATTTCAAATGATTGTGTCTTTTCTTATAGTCACCGTTGATACCCATTGAATTAAAAGACACAATTACATATGATTGCACCATTTATGAAAACTAACTGGTGAGGCTACCAATAGATGATGTCTTGCACTCCCAACTCACACCATTAAACAGTGATGCTATACACTGTTGTACTATTTGGATCCACAGAGTTACATTGGTTGAGCAACTATATAATTCCTATTTGGCATTATTAAATCCTAAATGAAATTGATTCGAATTGCTTTGTCGCTCACTAAGCATATATAGCCGAACATAATTTCAAGGAGCATGAATCACGCGCAAGAGAACCCACGCGGCGTTAAAACTCAAAATACCTTATTTGTGAGATAGAATCTCATAATTGTGCACACAGTACTATTAACAACAAGAAGAAAAGCAGATTTACTGTTAGAAAAACTTGCACATAATTATATGCTCCGCTTGATTTCAGAAGAAAATTATAGCCAATCAAAAAAAGGGTTTTGAATTGTTGCTATTGTTTAATTGCTGAATTCAGCTTAAGGGTAAAATTAAGACAAACACACGAATTCCAAAAGTAAAATACGTATTAGGAAACAGTTTACCATAGATCCTAATACATCAAATGTTCTCTATTTGGTACAATCCTAAAGATAAGAGATATCAATTATCTGAAGGGTTTTCATCGAAATACAAGATCAAGGTAATCTCAGCTAATTCAATGTATTCGAGCATACAAACCAACTGGACTTGCAAACCTGAAAGAGTGTGTGTGTGTGTGTGTATTGTTAAAGTAAGACTATCCAAGGATGTATCCAAGTTACATCCTCTCTAGCTTAAGCTTGATGAGTTGATTGTTGAATATGATATCGTAGGCAAAATCTCAAAATAGTAAGGTTACTACAAAATATGGTTGTTTTGATTAATCCTAATATTTTAAGATTAATATTATTGGGATCTAAAAAATTGTCATAATTTGTTGATATAATGATGTGTCAAATGATAAAATTTTAATGATTATTAAACCATGTCACTGTCACATCATTATGTTAATAAATTAAAACAATTTTTTAGGTCTTAATAGTGTTACTCATATTTTAGTCGAGCTTTACAGTATGTTAGTATGTTTTGCCACCTCTACCTAGGCAATATGGCTTGTGACAACCACAGTTAAGCTTAAATACGAAAATCTTGTTCCTCCTGGGGAGTATGATTTGAGGCGCTTTCCTTTCAAACTGGAGCTCTGGTCTGGCATTGTCTTGTTGGGTGAAAGTTCCATTCTCGGACAGAATGGGTGAATCAAATCAGTTGGTGTCTTAAGTTTCCTTAAATAGATTACAATGCTGATTTTGTCGCAACAGACAGGTACCTGGTCTGTAATATTTAAAAAAAAGAAAAAAATTGGAAGAGGAATGCTGGTAAAGGAGCGTCAGTTCTGACCCGTTGATGCAAACTTGCTCCGAATCCAACAGAAAAACAATTATAAAATTAACATGATTATTAAATATGCATAATAAATAGTCTAGACTAATGTTTAATACTCAAAACACACTAAATAGATTTATTTTTTCATGGGTCTCGACACGAACACGAAATAAATAATAATAACACGACATGCAGGTCACACGAACACGACACGATTGACACCCCAGAATCATCCGTCTAAGCGATAGTTTATGGATCTAAATCCAGAAATCATTATCCTAAATAAGGGTGTTTACCGTTTACCTTTCGCTAACTTCGTTGGAGTTGGGGAGCGTTTTGCATTGAGTATGATATTTTTACAATTTGGTAATATCTTAGTAATTTCATCAAAACATTACTATCTCACATAAAATGAATCCATTGTGCATTTAATGGATTTGTCACATGTATTAATGTATGTCTTTTATCTTAAGTAATATTTTCCTTTTACCTTGACAAATGTTGTATGTTTTGTTTTTATCTTAACAAATATTTTCCTTTCCTTACTACTTGGATTAATTATAATTTTCACATATCAAGTGTCATCTAATTCCTATTTTGATTTTTGATGTATTTTTCCGATCAATCTCATCCTCCAACTTTCAATAAGTTCTTATTTAGTTCAATCAATGGCCTCCAACAACAAACTCGACAAAAAATTTCATGTGAATTCATAGCAATATAGCACTCATGCATCATGTTATGCACACATCTTTCTTCGTCGAGGGATTTAGCTACTAGTAATGGTTGAGCTGAATTAATACCAAGCGGAGAATCAGACGATGAAATTGAGTAAAAGAAAAAAAAAATCAAGAACCAAAGTGAAAATAGGATGAAACTAATTCAAGGATAAATAAGTGTAACTATATTTGAATCCAAAATGCTTTTATAAAAGTATTTAACTTAATATTGTATGGTACTTTTTGTCCAAAATGACTGGTCCTATATTTGAATCCATCCCGACCAAATATATATATATATATATATATATTTGAATACATGAATCTTATCTTTGTGAATCAGACATGACACTAAAAAATAACTCTTGTCAATTTGAATATGTATCTAATCAAAGATTTGAAGACGGTACCGATTAAAAAAAAATCAGTATTATCACTACAACAAATTGGACTTTTAGTCGCAAAAATTATTGCAACTAAATGTATAAAAATTGTCACTATACACTTTAGTGACAACTTTTTTGTTGTCACTAGGCCGCATCAATATGTGTGTGACTAAATTATTTAGCTAGAATATTTAACTGTTGGAACTAAAAATAAAGTTTTTAACTGCAATCTGAAAAATGTCAATAAAATGTGAAATTTTTAGCCGGAACAATTATTGTAGCAAGTTAACATAATTTTGTCACTAAAATGTCCCTTATCGCCACTAAAATGTCCAATTAAAATCTGACTTTTAGTTACAATAATTAATTACAGCTAAAAGTAAAAATTTTACCAACAATTAAAACCATCACTAAAATTTGAAGCATGCTTTTAGTGACAACTTATTGTCACGGCTAATTAATACATTAAAATGGACAAAAAAAAACCTATTGCACATTTGAAAGAATTTATTTTTCAATATTTTCCAATTTCACATACCTATTATAATTTAATAAATCAATATATATACCTAATGAGGAAACAAACAACATAATAAACTCACTTTCAAATATATAATTCCCAAATTAAATCACGTGCAAATAATATTCTGATATTAGTATCGTTAAGTTGTACGTGTACAACGCGTCATCATAAAAAAATAGAAATGAACAAAAAAGGTTATAATCATGATTTCAAATTGTGTTCTAACAACTAGCCAATGATACCCACTCAAAAAAAAAAAAAGTAGTTGCATAACAATCAAGTCTCAACTACATATTCATTTTTTGGTAGGTTGTTGGATCTTTCATCTTTAGTCTTCGGAGGCGAGCCTTCCAAAGTTGTTTTCAAAGCTTTCACAAGTTTGTACCTAACAAAACTTACGCAACATTAATAGGAAGCACAAAGAGTTTAATGATAAGCAGTAGAAATTCTAGATTTCTTGCTGATACAATATATGAAGAGGATCTAGATTTCATTCAATACATTTTTTTTCGACTTTTTTAACA